TTGTTCAGCCTGGAGAAGAGAAGGCTCCAGGGTAACCTCACAGAGGCCTTCCAGTATCTGACAGGGGCCTACAGGAGAGATGGGGAGGGACCTTTTACAAGGGCACACAGTGACAGGACGAGGGGTAATGGATTTAAATTGGAAGAGGGCAGACTTAGACTAGATATTAGGAAGAAATTTTTCACTGTGAGAGTGGTGAGACACCGGAACAGGTTGCCCAGGGAAGTTGTGGATGCCCCATCCCTGGAGGTGTTCAAGGCCAGGCTGGATGAGGCTTTGAGCAGCCTGGTCTAGTGGGAGGTGTCCCTGCCCATAGCAGGGTGGTTGGAACAAGATGATCTTTTAAGGCTGGTCCCTTCTATGACTCTATGATAAAAAAAGGAAAAGAATATTTCAGATTTGACAAATTCTAGTGATTCTCTTGACTCACCATGACCTTCCTTAAGGTATAGCGTTTGGATCTAATATCATCCATCAGCATTTCATAAGGTGTGAGCTGATATTCTATTGGGAGCGGGTTGTACTGACGCTCTTGAACTTTCTTAAGTTTAACACCATTCCGTAAATCTCGCATCACTTGTACCCAAAAACGAGCCTGAAGAAAAAAGAGAGAAATTTTATTAGATACCTTACCCTTGAATACCACTTCAGATTAAACCAAAGTTGTTCATTCCCCTTTCAGGACACCACCAATGACATACAGCTGTACTATTTTAACACATAAACCAAAACCCATTATATCTATGGTTATTTTATATAAGCCCATTTTTAAACCTCATGAATGTAACAATACTTTGTTGCAACTCAGTGGGGCTGCAGTCTCACCTCAAGTGATGTTCATCTCTAAGATAATACAGAAAAAGGATTTTAAATTCTCACACTGTACAGCTATTTCATGTATACTGCAAGAATGTCAGGAAAGTTTATAAACTTATAGTTAATACTATTTGAATTAAAACAGTGATTGAATCTGAAATTTAGTTTCTCTTAGGCCCAGAATTTTCTTGCAAAAATTCCAAGCAGTTCTTCACATAGAGATTTTGGAATGGACTCCAAATCCTAAAGTCTAGCAATACCCTCTCAGTACTCAACTTCATTTTGCTCTGCCAGTAAGAGCACCACACACTTATACCTCTCTCTCACTTTTTGGACAGTGAGAATGGCTGGAGAGGAGGAAGAACGGGTGTCAGAGAGAAGATTGGGAGATTGAAATAATTACTTTTAAGAACACGATAATATGCCTCTATGAACTGCCAAGAATAGTAACTTCAAACTAAAACAATCTACTTTCTGTTAAGAGCTTCTCTGTAACATTTTTCTTTCACCATTGGAGAATCTCAGCTGGTGGCTCTGTCTACTGCCTGGATGCTCCTTTGAACAGCAGTCAGCCTGATACCTAAGTGTCTAGTCTTCTTAAACTGCAAAAGCTTCTCTACAAAAACAGTCTAAAGAAAAAATGTAATGCTTGGATATTTGTATTGTCTCATCTGTCTGTGAAGGAGAGTTGAGACTCCATTTGGTTCTAATTTGTCATGAGTTACTATTAATTCATCTTAAAAAAAACAAGCACTGATTTTAACATAAACCAAACAACTTTAGGTAAGTATTATAAGTAAATACAAACTGCTAGTAATGATGCCGAATCACTATCCAACTGTTGTCTTACCCAGTCAGCATTTTTTAAGTCATCAAGATCTGTGCTGGATTCATCACTTCCCTCGTTGTCCATTTCTTGAATCTTCTTCAGATTCTGCCAGTGAAAAGAAAATGACTCCAAAAATGAATGGTGGCATTACTCTCAAGTAAAACTGAAGCTTAATTTTTAACATCATTATTTGAATTATGTTGTTTGGGTATTCTATTGAATGTTTTATGACTTGAACAGTAATACTGTAAAAGTAACTTGAAATACTATTTGAATGTATTTGTCTTAATTGAAAAGTGGACCTTAAATGCTGGAAAAAAAATCTTTGAGTTTTGAGCATGAAAATATTTCAGATAATAGCATGCCAGAGGAAAAACTATACATGGAAATTTTATTATTCACAAAATTGGGCTATGGACAGAAAAAAAACCCCAACCACCTAGCAGGTCTGTTAAGCCAAAACACAGAAAATGTTACTGACTTTGGTAATGATTCCATTCATACCAAAATGACTGTTATTTGTTGATTCAAGACAGACCATTTTTGTAAAAGAAATTCACAGAAAGTCAGTTGTGAGGAGAAATAAACTATGAGAAATCCTTAAAAGTGAATAGCAACAGACTTGCACGTATATTGAAATTAAGTAGTCTGTATAACATGGTTATTGGTTCTGAAATCTGAGTAATAAAATCATGTAAGGAAGAGAAACAGATCTTTCAAAGGTAAAAACTGCTATTTATGAACAAAATCAGATAATCCAAATATGGAAAAGACTGTCTGCAGAGGGGCAAAAAAAAGCTTTCAGTAACAAGAATATGAAAAATGATTAGAAGTTACAGCAGACCAAAAGAGTAGGCAAGCTTGCACGCAGACAAATGCAAGTGAAAGATTTAAAAAGCTGCAGCTTTACAGAAATGATCTTATACACACAACCAACCATGTATTCAACATGCCGTATTTTGGTTTACTTCTGTATTGAAATGTTCTGGAATCAGCAGTACAAATTCTCAATACTCCATTCCACTTCTACAGATAGTTTTCCAGGAAATCTTTAACAATGTTTCATTTGATCTGTTTTCTAAGTACTCACTAATGTATTCAAAATGGGTAGTTAAATCCTCTGCTAACTACTTGGTTATTTTATGAGACTAAAGCAACAGGTCAGAGGTCTGACAGATTATTGATTTATCAAAAACTTCTTCTCACTTTTAAGCACTTGAGCTCCTCCTTTAATGGAACTGAACAATCAGTCTCAATTTAGCTTTTGAGCTTCCCAGAAAACTCAAAAAGAAGCATAATTTGTAATACTTTTTTTTTTTTTTTTTTTTTTTTTTTTTCCCCTGGAAGTAGTTCCAAAACTGCCAACACTTCAGTGTAAGAAATTGAAGCATTGGAAGACTGCTTAACCTGCACAGTTAACAGAATGCAACTAACTAGCAAACCTGGTTACAGAGCTAGCACATGTAAGTCAGACACCAAAGAGGTTTTGGGAAGAGAGCAGATGGGTTATTTATTGTCTTATTTACGTAAGTAACACGCTGTCATATCAAAGAGAAATACTACCATTGCCCTATAAAAATAAAATACATAATTTACAGGAAGACTAAAAAAAAACTCATAAATCACCTACAGTACAGAAAAAAATATATCATGGGACAATGTGGGAAGGTTTTGGCATGACTTGCAGTATCACCACAGGATACTCAATTGGGAAGGAATGTCTTTAAGGAAATTTGTGTTGGTCCTGTCGCTGCGGTCAGCAGTCAGTCTGACACTTACAGGCAACCACCCTTTTCCAAGGGGAAAAAAAACAAAACAAAACAAAACAGAAAAATTGATAGAACGAGTAATATAAAGGTCTCACTTATGTGTGTTTTGCCATCCAGGGTTTGTTTCTGTACCATACAGTTGCAGTAACCATTTCAAATACAGTATCTGTGAACTGTAAATGACTTGCTTTATTGCAAACTGCTAGCATGTATTAAAAAACTGCAAAACAGAAAATAATTCTGGTACTTTCTCCTTTGCCTCTTTGTAATCAAAAAGCTAACTTCAGTAAATGAGGTCACAACTGACAGATTTGCTCCTCCTTTCCATACCAAAAGGTACACATTAATTTTTTAAAAATTAACATGTTCCAGCTGCTTAACCTTTACTTTGACTGTTCAATGAGATTTGCAGCAATTACCCATCTCGGCAACCACTTTCCCTACCATACGGTTTACTGGGCTGGTTTATGCCCACAGGCTCACGCCTTTAGCTGACATAAATATTCCACGAAGCTAAACAGATTACAACCTGTTTTTCTTAACAGTAGAAAATATGAAGGGAAAAAAAAAAAAACAACCAAAACAACTGAACAGCTGGAAGATCTTCCAAATTAAGGAACCATCTAATTAATTTCTCTGGAACATAGCTAGAGGGGAAGCTTCTACCCAAGAAAGCACAAGTGTAAGTGATGCTGGCTACACTGGAGAGTTGCAAGAGCAAAACCTGCCAGGCAAGCCATCAAGTCTCTCAACTCTCAAAATGCAGTTTTATGGTCCAAATGAGCTGATACAAGCACAGGCTACTTCCAAAGCTGGGCTCCTACTCTTCCCCATCCTAGCCAAGTGGTCCAGCTGCTTCCCTCATCCCGGCACAGATGCTCACTTCATAAGGACAGTTCATTCCCCTCCCTGGACTCTGGCTCAGACCTCTAAATGCAGCTCACCATGAAATTAGTGGAGAACAGTAGAAAGGAAAGGAATTTCCATCATTATAGAAGTTAGAAAGCTTTGGAAGATTAGGAAGAAATAAAACCATGAAGTGCTCTATCCATGCAGCCAGTGCTTAGGAAGGCTTCTTTAACTGTTCTGCACTGGTCAGATGCTGCTTAGGAAGGAATAAATTCACTGTGACAAATGAAATTCTAGACTAAATGAAATATTGTAATTTCCCTCCAGCACCCCCAGCCAGCATCAGTGGGTTTCAGCATCTGTTTCAATCATAAATTATGGAAACTAACAGATTGAAAATACAATAGACTGTTTGTCAGAACTTAACTATGATCCAAAACCTTTGAGTAACCCCAACCGCTGTAGCCACTTTTACTTACCCTTGGGACAACGGCTTAAGAAAAGCCATTGCACTATAATAAATACATGGCCTAAATGGGTTTCAATTTCAGAAAGCAGAAACATCTTAAAAGGGTTCTTCTGAACTATCCCAGAACCTCAGACCCACACCACAGACCTGATTCACGTATTAGAGCCTGGGCATTTGTTCAGGAAATAAGGGTTGGATGTGTAGGTAGTGAGTGTTTCATCAGCTATAGCATTTTTTAAACTGTTACAGCATTGGGGCATTTTTTTTTTAAACTGCATTTTGTGACAAAAGCTAGTAATAAAAATACCAAATGTCTTCAAATGTCTTGCTGCGCTATTAAAAGCAGACAGTTGATTTGCTGCTGCTGCGTGTCCCACATTTGAGATGTGCTCTCCTGTGCTCATTGACAGATGGGAGTTTATATAAGACACTTGTCATCACAACGTCAATGACTCACTTCCACAAAATGTTCTCTAAAACGCAACGTTTTAATGAAGACGGTATTCTTGAGAATACAGATGGACTTTGTCTTTCACCAATTGCAGAACACCGTTGACTGCTGTTCCCAGTTTATATTCTTAATTAGGAATTATTTGTTTGCTGGTGCAAGTAATTCTTATGCCACTATCTGTGAAACTAATAAAATATTCTTGCACCTCCAGGCTCAGTTTAAAAATAGTGGAACCTGCACATAGGGGAAAACCTGCTTTCATATATTCAGCTATCCAATTTGGGTCTGAATTCGAAGGGCTTCACCAGCAGCATTACTCGAATTCTTTGAAAAGTGGGAATACTTCAAATGTGGGAATAGGATCAGTTAAATCACTCCCTCAAGTGAGTATCTGATAAAGTACCTGATACCCAACCTCTCAAGTGGGTATCTGATAAAGCTCTTCATATACAATGGTATATGAAGAGCTTTTTCCCTTATTAAAGCTCCTAAATTGAGGGATCAAACAAATCATTATGGGGGTGCAAGCCTGCCAACAACACAGTTGCAAAAGCAAGCAGAGTCACTTGGAAGCCTGAAAGTGTAGGCAAAAGTGAAGTTACGAGCAGAAAAATTTGTGAATCTGTTTTTTTCCTCCAGCTGTGCTTTCTGAAAATCTCAGCAGCAGGGTATTTAACAGCTTTTACAGTCACAAGACTATTAAGAGTAACTTGGCTAACAACTTTATTTCTAAAATAAGTTAGCCATTAACATCGTTTAGATACCTATTAACTACCTCTATTATCATATTTTGTACAAATAACACACCACTATAGCCATGTTAAATGGAAAGTAATACTCAACTTTTCAAACTGTTTTCCAGTTGAGCAGGAAACTAGGAAGAAAAAGGGACCATTTCATTTCTACTCATGTACTTAATAAGACTTTATATGTTTACACTTTCATACAGATTAGACTGAAAACTACCCAGGTAGACTGAAAGAATTATGTTTTTACATCAGAAAGCACAGAAATGAAAGGCGACATGATTTAAAAGAAGATTACAAAGATGACAGATTGGGAGCTTTATCTGTATTCTACCAAAAACTTAATCACGAGGCATACTCTGGATAATGAAATTACGGTTATGGACAAGTTTTTGACGAACATGGACTTTAAATGCAATCAAGAATGTTAGCAATTTTAAAAATATATGAAGTCTTAATTAGTTTGGAAGGAATCTTAATCTTTATGCTTTAGGATGTATATCAACCTCTAAAAATTTTTCAGATATGACTCAAACCCACTGCAACAGATTAAGACACATCTGCCTACTGGATACTTCTTGTATTTTATGCTGGCCAGCATCGCATAGTCCCTTTTGGCATCAGCTGTGCCAGTTGTGGAGTTTATCACTCACAGCCCACCACGAATGCTTAGCTCTGCTACAGGCTGGCACTGGCATTTACCGGTAGCACTCACAGACTCACAGAGTGTTGAAGGTTGGCAGGGGCCTCTGGGGGTCAGCTGCTCCAATCCCCCTGCTCAGGCAGGACCACCCAGAGCCAGCTGCCCAGCACCATGCCTA